CTTCTTCAGGTACTCAACGCCCTTCCATTCCAAGTAGGCGAGAGTTTTTCCAACGCCCTTCCATGTGGTGGCACCCAAACCTGTAGCAGTACAAAGTTTCCAAGAAGGTACGGGCGACGACATGTAGGGAGGATATTCTTCTCGAGTTGCTCGATGTAACCGCCAGCGCTCACCTTCAGTCCGGGGTCCACGAAGAAAATATCGGTCTTTCCATTCCAGGTACGTCCGGTCCATACCATCAACCCGCGCCTTGGCGACTGCGGTGAAGATGATGTCCTAGACCGTGGCGACGTTGTCGGAGCTGCTCGATGTTGGAGGTCTTCCAGATCGAGAGTACTGGTCTCCAGGTAGCTATCCATGGGTGACTCCACACTAGAAGTTTCGCAGCTGTTTGGAGGTGACATGAATTCCAAAGGTCTTCTCCAGTCAGGCTGCGACTGGAGATGACTTCATATTTTGGTGTACATGAAGGTGATGGGCGAGAGCCAGCTCCTGCTTATCGAGGAACATCTTGGGTATCTTCCGCCCTGGTACTCGTATCCACGTCCTCTGTCTGGGCTGCGAAAACTTTGCTGATATGTGACTCGGTCGAAGTGTCTTTTTTTGCCCCCCCCCCTACATCCCCACCCAGTCCTCGTTAACAGAGATTATGTGGCATTCCTTTTATGAGTATTTTTTAGGTGAAATAGAAATCGTCGATATGGAAGCCTCTACGCTTGAAGCTCTTACAAATTTCTGCTACTCAGGTTTGACAAACGATAACCGACGATAATGTGCTAAGTATTCTGCCAGCCGCTTGCCGTCTTCAGTTCAACGAAGTTCAGGTTAGGCAGTTTCAGCACGAAAACTCGACCTTGTCCTGACAAAGGTGCACATTATTTGTAGAGTTGCCATGCGGCGCCACGTCTGTATCCCTTTCCTTTGCCAGATCGCATATTTAGCAGACAGGGTACAGTATCGGGAAGGGTGAAATGGCAGCGTCAGCGCGGCTCTCCCACATCGTATCATCGCACCCAACTAATTTTTGTCTTCCAAGTGTGGGTTACCTTTTCTTATCATACCTACCATCATCCAAAATTCTTCCAACTCCCTACCAATTCTCCACTTTCCTATTTTTTTTTCAAGAAACTGCTTTCGGCTGGGTGGGGGCCTACGCCCACAGATCCAATGCCAGAGACCGATAGCACCGATAACTGGGGTGATCTATACAAGGGGGGGGGAGGGAGGGGTGGGTGGGGGGGCAATAAAAAAAGACACTTCTTCCTCGACTTTCAAGGCGATATAAGTTACACTTTATTAAATTCTGATTGGACATTTCCACCATCATATTCAACAACACATTGTACACTATCATGATACTCCGCCATAGCGCCACAGCCTTCTGGACGAACGCCATCGAGAGATTCTGCCGTGATTCGGTGCCTGAGTTCAGCGAGGTCGTTGATTTCTCCGCCACTGTAGACCACCCTGTTGAGCTCCGCCCGAACCCGGTAATCGAGGGGGTTTAGGTCAGGTGACACACTTGGATATTCCGTCTTCTTCAGGTACTCAACGCCCTTCCATTCCAAGTAGGCGAGAGTTTTTCCAACGCCCTATTCCATGTGGTGGCACCCAATCCTGTAGCAGTACGAAGTTTCCAAGATGGTACAGGCGACGACATGAAGGCAGGATATTCTTCACGATCGGTCTTCCCATTCCAGGGACTTCCGGTCCATACCATCAACCCGCGCCTTGGCGACTGCGGTGAAGATGATCCTGGACCGTAGCGACGTTGTCGGAGCTGCTCGATGTTGGAGTCTTCCAGATCAAGAGTGCCGGTCTCCAGGTAGCTGTCCATGGGTGACTCCATACAAGAAGTTTCGCAGCTGTTTGGAGGTGACATAGGCCTTCTCCAGTCAGGCTGCGACTGGAGATGACTTCATATTTTGGTGTACATGAAGATGATGG